TGGTGCTGGCTTGATTAAGCGGGGCCCAAGTAGAGGGGCCGGCCGCTGGAAGGCTGGGGCGACAGCGGGTGTATGTATGATGATGAGAGCATGCCGACGTGGCATTTTGGCTGAGGTTGCACTGCATTGCGTTGTGGGTGGTACTGAGGCTATTGATGAGGCTATTGATCGGTCATCGAAATGCACGTCGGCCCAATTGGTGAGAAATCTGTGGTTGGGGGCAGCTATCTCCAGATATGTTGTTCCCATTCCTTATCTACCCTCTCAATCTCTTCTTACCGTGAGGAAGTGAGTCCAACTTTGAGTGTCCTCTCTTTCGTGCGGAGTAGTGTGCGCTATATCTTGAGAAACGATATTCTTCCCCGTGGCGCATCTGGCAGGAGAGAGCGGTGCCTCTGAAGGGCCCTGGTCGAAGCACGGGTCACGGTCACCATGCCAACCCATGGGAGTAGTACACGCAGGCCATGCTGCTTTGTCCTTTGAGGCTCTTTGCTGCGCTGATAGAAGGAGTGTGCGGAATGACCAGTCCTAAGCAGGCGCTCCCAGACCGTCTATAAACATTTCTGGTTGGGGTCTGAAGTGTCCACTGGCTGTGATCGTCGTCCTGATTGCGACGTTAAAGAATTCTTGAGGACTCTAGGGGGCTGTCCTTAAATTGCCTCTTGATCAACCAGATCAGTCAGACGTAAGGCTCATTGCACACGAGGGTAAATAACGAGCAGGCTGGTCATAAGCATATGCCTTGGGCACAGGGGTGGGCCGTTGTTGCACACCTTAGACACTGCCGCTTGATGATGCTCACAGGTACGTTGGATACACAGGAAGGGGATCCCGATTGAGGACTCAACTGTACATCACTATCATACCCATTGTGCATACTCATAGTGGTCTATTTTTATTTTGATTAGTTGGTTGACAGATTGCTGACACCTAACAGACAGCCTAGAGTCGGATTGTAATCTACCATAGTCAGTTCTTCTCAAAGCTTTTGTGCAGAACTAATCAGGATAGAGGTAGACTATGTGTACAGCCTGTTTAGGTGTTGTTGATGTCGCTTGACAGGTAGCCTAGGTAACTCGCCGGACATTAATTTTTATTTTATTTATTTTTAGAACCGGTTAGACGCATGTTGTGGTAGATCCCAAAGAGAACACTAGTGTAGACAGCGTCTGCCTAACTGATGAGCGGATCAGATGGGGGTGAGGGTACAGTTGACGATAGGAGGCAGACACGACAGGATACCGGTAGGATACCCGTAGTGTTCCAGTTTCTACTACCAGAAGATGAGAGAAGGCTAAGGGCCGAAGCAAGGGCCTGAAATCTAGAAACTGCGAGAGAAGCAGCAACAGCTGTAGAACGGGTGTTGGCAGCAGCACCAGCTAGCAATGGCTACCTCTGCAGCAAGGGCGTTTTTTTTTTTTTTTTTTTTTAATGTATCTCACTGCAGCTCCTTGGGGCATATTGGGACAAGAACATTTCTTGAATCTAACTGCAGTTACGGGCAGACAACTCCTTTGGCAATCACGCTTTGTTTTGTGTGGGGGTGGGTGGGTGGGCAGTCGGGCACGCTCTTGTGTTTGTGGGTGGGTGGGTGGGTGTGTCAGGGCCTTGGGTTTTACGGAGAGGCGAGCGACATTGAGCAAAAAGGACAGTTTTCAGCCACAAGCGGTTATCGGGTAGCTGAAAATTCAGGAATGAAAATTCTGAAGTGAGAGTTTTGGGCAGTTTGAAAATCCTGAATGGTCCTGAAGTGGTGAAAGGTCCGAAGACCCTGAAAACCACCTGTTTAGGCAGGCTGCATCCTGAAGTGGTGAAGGGTGTCCTGAAGTGGTCAAGTGAGAGTTTTGGGCAGTCTGAAAATCCTGAATGGTCCTGAAGTGGTGAAAGGTCCGAAGACCATGAAAACCACCCTTCACCACTTGAGGATGCAGCTTGCCTAAACAGGTGGTTTTCAGGGTCTTCGGAGCTTTCACCACTTCAGGTCCATTCAGGATTTTCAGACCTAAACGGTCCTGAAGTGGTGAAAGGTCCAAAGACCCTGAAAACCACCTGTTTAGGCAGGCTGCATCCTGAAGTGGTGAAGGGTGTCCTGGAGTGGTGATGAAAAATACGACTGTTGTTAACCTTCTCTCTTTTCAGCGGCAACTTCGGTGATTTTTTACGCTCAGAATAATGCATGTGAGAATCTAAAAAATTAAGATCCTGTAGATTAGTCAGCATCATCATCAGTAGTATCATCATCAGGATCATCATCATCAATGATCATCATCATCATAGTCACCACATGAGGGACGCTGGACCTGGTTCTCAGTAAGTTCGGTTTTGTTTCTCCAGGCAGACTGTGAGGACCCCGACCTCATTCCGCTTATTGGTAATATCAGCCTTGGGCACTGGGCCCGTTAAAAAAAAAAAAAGAAAAAAAAAAAGGTTGTGATCTCCTCAAGAAAAAATATCTAAAAAAAAATTATAGTTCATTTGGACCGTGAAATAATTGTCATGCGGTTTAGGCGCATTCTCCATTTTTGCCACTTTGCCATGTGCTGGCTAAGGGAAAGCGTAGTCCAAGTTCACTGATTTTTCTCCCTCAGAAGAATGTGTGAAAAAATCTGAAATTGCAAGGTCCATCGACTTCGTTTTGATATTTTTAGGAAAAAAATAAAAAAATTATTTCCACCTTGAAATAGTCGTCGCGCCAATTCGACGGTTTTTCCATTTTTGCCGCTGTGCCATGTGTCGACCAACAAAAAACGTACTGCATCTTCTTGATTTTTTGAGCTCATAAGGATATAAGAAAAATCTGAAAATCTTAGGGCCCGTAGATTTTGTTGTGGTCTTTCTGCAAAAAATATTTAAAAAAAAAAAAAAAACATTTACAGCAGCGAAATGCATCGTGGCAGCAATTGGACGCATTTTTCATTTGTGCCTTTCAGCCGGTTCTCCACACTGTGCAAGGTTAGGGTTTGGACACACAGACACATCCTGACATGCCAGCTGCCTGTCACAGGAAACACTTTAGAAAAAGTCCCCAAAACCAGACAGGGACGCAGGATACCTCAACGGTTATCTCATTAGGCAGTTGGGTACCTCAAATTTGTGCATGGGTTCAAACCCCAGCTACAACCATTGGCAGGAAGCTTGACAATATTAATATTAGTGTGTGTGCATGCATGCGTGTGGGCAGGCAGGCAGGCAGGTGGGGGTGTGCCATCCGTGTGGGTGGGTCGTGCTTGTGTGTGTGTGCGTGCGGGCGGGAGGGTGTGGGTGTGCCATCCCTACGGCCGGGCAGGCAGGCAGGCGGGCGGACAGGCGGGTGGGTGGATGTCGCCCAATTTTCTGTCCCGACGATCCCGCGGCAACCAAAGACAACCACGCGACAACCAACACGCGGGGAACGAAGCAAAACAAAACAAAAACACACAAAAAGAACAAAAAAAGAAACGCTAAAGGAACGCAGCGCATGACACACAACACACAAAAAGAACAAAACAAGAAAAGAACACGAAGGGCAAAAAGAATGACGTGCGAAAATAACAACGCACAGGGAAAAGAAAGCGCTGACAACACGCGAAAGGAACAATGCACGGGCAAAAAGATAGCACCAACAACACGTGAAAAAGAAGGCAAAAGGAACGCGCCACCCAAAGAGAACAAAAAAAGAAAGTGCGAGGAACGTAACACGCCCGAAAACGACAGCGCGGGGAAATGCCACGACAACGGAACCAAAACGGGCAAGTACATGATTCGCCCTCCTATCGGGTGGCTGCCCTTTTCGAGATATTCCTGCGCATCAACGCCCACCCTCGCTCTGCCCCTGCTGCGCCTTTCTCTCATTACATGGCGTGCTGAACAATTAGGTGTGCCGCCCCCTCTGCGCATCCGCCCACCCTTGATCCCCATCATCCACCGGCCGTCGCTAAAAGTTCCACTGCGCTACGGCACGCGGTGGACCATCAGCTGTGCCCCCGTGTCCAATGCTCCTTAAGGGTTAGGATTAGCATGGCCCCTCTGCAAGGATGACACACATAAACAAGGAGACATAACTGAAAAGAATTTGTTAGTGTCAGTTAGTGAATCATTCTTCGTCCCTTTTTCCTTCTCCTTTTCCCTTTGGCGGAGTGAATCTGTTTTCCGAGGAGCTACAGAATATGTGCAACTGGGTCCATATGGCTCTCAACAAGCCTCTCTGCATTTCTGTTCTGCATGTCTCGAGCACACAACCCTTTGATCGTCAGCTGTATGTCGCTTAATCTCCCTTCGCTTGAACAACTCCCCTTTCTCTTTTCCAGCTCTTGAGAACTCCCCCTCTGCTTGTCAACTGTATCTCTCTTGCTCTCCCTTTGCCTGCTCTATCCCTCTTACTCTCCCTGTGTGTGTTGGCTGTATGTTGCTTGCTCTCCATTTACTTGTCGGCTGACTCCATGTTCCCTTTGCTTCCCCTTGCATGCCCTTCTTCCTCTCTCCCCCGAGTCCTCGCCTCTTCTCTCTGCTACCGGTGAAGCTGCCCACGGCTGCGGGAACCGCACTTTCAATCGATCATTCTTCTCCAGACCTGGCACATCCAGATCATTCTTACCTCATTTGTAAGTCTAACAACACAGCTTGCCAGACTTACAAAAGAATGGTTTACTCACTTAGCAACTCTTATTCAACAAGGGCGGTTCACGCCGGACAAAGCCACCGACACTGTAAGAGGCCGCTTTGGCCACCCTGACACCCTGTTGATCAGGACCTCGACCCTGCCTGGAACTTTGCATAGTACATAGTTCATTCATTCTGTTCGCAATTTTGTTCATTCTGTTTGCAACTTTGCACACAACTTGCCGGTTATCACAGATGACTAAGTGAAGACGTCTGGTCCTTCTGGCAGGGGGGACCGCCCCAGTTGCTTGCTGAGTTTCCAATTGCTGTGCAGGTGACCCTCTAGGCTCAAGAAAAAGAATTACTGCAATCCAGAACCACCTGCTGAAATGACCAACTGTTTGTATGTGAGATGATTGCAGGGGTGAAGGGTGGCATAATCCTGGGTTATGCAGGCTTCCCAAGACAGGCCAATGAGTCCCAAGGAGTTATCATATTCCCAGAGCTGTGTACTCTGAACACTTTTTGGCAGGGTTATGTTTGCCCGCCCCTGGATTACACAGCGGTGAGTGCCTGTTTCACTTTTCCTCTCTGTGTTCCCTTTCTGAGGTGGTAATATTATGAGTCTGTCTGGTAAGTTGGTAACCCTCTTATTTTGTTTCAACTTTTAAGAAAAAGAATAAAAAAAAAGAGAAGGCTGATAACCCTTACAATCAACCCTGGTAATACTTCCCAATCTCGAGCTCCCTTTGATCGACAAGGAGGCAATCCATCATGTTGGATGTCATCAGTTCAGGTTGTCATATGGTGAAAAGAACTAATGGGCCCCTTGAAAGAGCCCACTTTTGGTTAAAAAATGCAGTGCAAATTTCTAAGATGTGTGTTACGTTCGCTATACACAACTCCTCAGAAAAAGCATGACTGTGCAAGTCTGTCACAGACTCATGTGGGTGTTGTCAAAAAAACCCAAACTCTCTCTCTCTCTCTCTCTCTCTCTCTCTCTCTCTCTCTCTCTCTCTCTCTCTCTCTCTCTCTCTCTCTCTCTCTCTCTCTCTCTCT